ACCCCCTCCTATCGACGGATCTCACACCTACTTGGGATATCACACCTACTTGAGATCTCACACCTCGATCAAAGGGGAGGCGGGACTTAGCTCATTTGCATAAGTAGGGAGAGGTGTGACCTGTCACAGCACCTGTCACTTTCTATGCATACTAATGTGATGGAAGCGGGATGAATAATACTACTAACAACACTAAATGAAATTGGTACATACAACAAGGGCACTCTAATACATCGGCAACCATCCAGTTTTCCAGCAATAGGACCGTATTTCTACAAAGGATATCACAGTAATTTACATTTTAACATATTATAGCATATTATCGCATTATCCTGCCCCAGGTTCGTTCAGAAATTGAGATAGGTCGTTGTTCTTGGTATACTCTATAAAACGTCCCCAGACCTTCTGGAACAGTTCTTGTTTGTCTTTGAGAATGTAAGTGATTTTTTCTAAAGGCAGACATAAAGAAAGTTCCCTAAACCACTGTGCAATACTAGGTTTGCCCAACTTTTTCCATGTTAAGGCAATCACTCTTTTTGCTTGTAATAAACATATATCTATAAAAACTTGTTTATAACGTTGTATGTTTGTCGCTCCGGATATAGGCCAAGTAGGAACATTTTTGGTTACAGCTTTAAGCTGATCACTAAAATATTCTGTACTGTTACCCTAACCTCTTCCCAGAATTCCTTTATTCTTGGACATTACCATAGACAATGGAACAGTGTGCCTTTTCCTTCCCCACATCTGGTGCACGTGTCTGGGATATTAGGGTTAAATGTATTCAGTTTTTCTGGTGTAATATACACTCTCATTAGCCACTTGTATTGCAGAAGCTTTAGACGCGTATTACCCGTCTGTGTTTGGGCCGCCTGACAAGCTGTGCTCCACTGTTCCAATGTTAGATCTTCCTTTAAGTAATTTTTCAAGGCATTAAGTCTAGAGTTGGAGGATTCTGAGGAGAACGCCAGCAGGAGATCATAGAATTCAGATATGATGCCCTTCCCAAAGGGGTTTTTAATTAAAACTTTCTCCAATATAGACATAGGAGGGGCCAGCATGAGTCGATCCTGAAAGGTGCTATATAATTAAATAAACTTGTCTTGCCTTGCCTTCATACTACATTAACCACATTTTATTCCGACCTCTTGATCCATGATGATGTGACTACATGTTAATATGGAAAACTGTTTTATCAGCTTCAGTACCATTTCAGAGTCGAATAACGTTAACAACGACGATTCTATTGATATGTATTGCATTTGATTATTCTGCAAACTGCAGCTAGTGTAATCTTATCGGTGCTTTTATTCTGAAAGTGGAACCGGTAGTGAAGCGGCCAGCGGAAGTAGCAGTATTGTGAAAAAGGAGAAAGACAGAGCTATCACAGGCTGTTCATTTTCTCATATAATAATCTGTTTAATAGTTGTAACCTTAAACAAAACCACTTGTCATGAATGGACTTCCGGTCTGTGTGGTCCCCTGGAGATAACGGCTGACACCCTGCTGAGCTCCAGTGAGTTTTGGAAGAGAGCAGCTGTGTTTACATCTGTTAGCATTGTAGCAGCTAATGTAGCTCAATGCTACACATGAATTAACTAACGCGCCCTGGACTTTAACCGTTTATCCTGGTGCGGAAGAATATTATTTAGTTATATATGGCGTGTGTGTGTATGTATGACAGTCTAGTGTTATACGTGTAATAGGTGATACATATATATATACATATTGCATGATGTACTATAATAATAAGTCAGCGTTATTGAGTGATGTTAGAGGAATAGGACACCTTCTATTAAACTGTAATAATGTTTGAATATTTTCTTTTAATAAACCATTTCATTCTTCAATATCCAAAGTTCTTGATATTGTAAACATCATCTGTTCTGTGTGAACCTACCATCACTCCACTGTTTGATCCTGGTTTGATATGTGATGAAGATACATGTCCCCCTCTCTCAGACCTGTTGATGTCCAGATGTTTGTCCGGTGTATCTGCTGTCTCTCAGGCGATGGAGTTGTCTCAGAGGGACCGGCTGTCGGAGCTGGTGGAGGAGCTGACCACATCTGGACAGCCTCAGCTCCACCCGGAGCGGATGAAGGAGGTGAAGAGGATCTGCAGGTGGGTTCCTGAGGAGAGAGCTGAGAGCAGCGTTACAGCTACTCTCAGCTCTCTCCTCACTGTTTCTGTTATTAGTATTATCTATAAACAGACACAGAAGTGTGAAGCTTTGTTTAATGCTGTTCTGAGTCATCTTTCATACTGAGAAAAATAAAAAAGTGGAGAAAAAGCGGGCAACTGCACCAAAACCCTAGAACGGATGAATAATAATGATGATAATAGAAAATACAAATAATTGCAATAATTCTTCTACTACTACTACTACTACTACTACTACTACTAATATTAATAATAATGATAATTTATGCTCACTAAAATAATGTAAAAAACATAAACATCACTGCATTGATTTTTTGGATTCCTCCATTGTTGGAAAAATGAGTGGACACATTTTGCTACCATAGAAACATTTCCTATTGAAAATATGATTGCAACAAATGAAAATTCACAATGTAAGCCTTATAAGGGCTATGTTTTAAAACAATTGATAAAAAAACTCTTTCAATACATAGCTCTTCAAGCATAATATGTATTGTTCACAGTCAAGCTATTGTTTCTTGATGTTTAGTCTCAGTGTTAACATTGACTTTTTAACAACCTTTCTGTAGACTGTTTTGAGACGTGGTAGGTTAGAATCCACAGGAGAATAAAAACATCAGTTATATAAGACTTTATGAATGTTATATGGTAGGGCTGCTCAATTCATTGTATTTTAATCGTGATTACGATTTTGGCTTGCAACGATTATGAAAACAACATAATCGAAATAAAACGATTATTTTTTTATATTATTATTTTTTGTATAATCTTTTTTGTATTGGTTTTTCAGTTGAATTATACTTAAAGTTCAGGGTAATCAACTGTTAAAAACATACTGTTCACATTTTTTTTTCAATAAATTGATGTTTTCAAAGTAAATGGATAATCGTTTTTAATAATCGTGATATCAATTATTGACCCAAATAATCGAGATTATGATTTTTGCCATAATCGAGCAGCCCTATTATATGGCATTGAATGCAAATGGTTCCTAACTGTGTGTCTCCTCATGCAGAGTGTCTAATGACTGCATCGAGCACGTGTACAACTCTGTGATGTCTCAGCTGAACCAGGAACATGCTGAGGTGCGACTGTCCGCCTTCCAGATCGCCATGGAGCTCTTCTCCAGGTCTCACCACTTCAGGACGCTGCTGGTGGACAACTTCCAGGTACCAGCTTCATGTACCAGGGCTCACCAACACATAGATACCTTCAAAACTATTTATATCTGGATTTCAAAACCTAAAAAAACCGTATTGTGTACATTAACATTGTTACCTTTGTACCTTTTTGGAGCTTTTGCATATGTGAGCTGTGTCTTGTTCCGAGCCTCTGTTCTCCATCGTCCTGCAGGAGTTCCTGGAGTTGACCGTGGAGACAGACTCGGAGCAGCCCCTCCCCCCTCCTAAGGAAGTAGCCAGGAAGTTGAGGGCACAGGCCATCCAGGCTGTCCAATCATGGCAGGCCTCCTATGGGACAGCCTATAAGAAGTTAGCATTAGGCTTCCACTTCCTCAAACAGGTGAAGAAGGTGAGTGGGCCCAACTTTCTCTTTGTTGCTGCCAGACACACGCCCAAGATTTAGGGTCAGAAGGTCTAACAACACGTTACGTAGATAATATCCCTGTATCGTTTTTATATATATATATATTGAAAATATTGAGCCATTTACTGACCACAAAGTTAAAATGACAAGAATAACATATACACAGACATAGAGTATATCTACCAACTGTATGCTTCTAAGCAAATATACCTGGTTATTTTTCTTAGATGAGCCCAAGATGCACAAAAAAAGAAAAGCCTCTTTTGAAGGCTTATGAAAATAAATCTACACACTTATGTAAATATATTTAACATGTTCATTCAAATGCTCAATGTTTTACTGTGATATCTTGCTTCAACAGTTATTTTAACACTTTATTTTTATTTTCTTTGTATTATTATTTAAATGTTAAATGGGATAAATAAAGTTCCATCTTATCTTATCTAAATGAATGATTCAGAATCACTTAAAATGAATGTAATAGCATTTCATTCATGAACACTCATAATTAACGTTAGAGTTTACAGGTAGTTTGAACAACATTGAAAATCATGCGATGTGTTTAACATTACAGTAAAGCTTCACCTCTGTTCTGTGAATTCCCCACTCAGCTGACCAATCATCAGTTAGCAAAGGCCTCTGGGGGAGGACCTGTCCTCTGCTGTGAGTAAAGTGAGGCGTCTGTGTCCTCAGGTGGACTTCCAGGATGCTGAGGCCCGGACCGTATCAGAGAGGAGGAGGGAGGAGGAGAGGCAGAGGAAAAGGGAGAGGATATACAAGGAGAGAGTGGAGGCAGCCTCCACAGACATGGAGGGTAAGCCCCCCCCCCCTGTGATGATGAACAGCAGATTCCCTCACGAAGCACAGACTAACAAGGTTGTTTCTCCGTCAGAGTCTTATCAGGAGATCGAGGCCACACTCACAGAGATGGAGTCCTGTATGAGCCTGCTCATCCCCGGGTTCCACTTCACAGAGAGCCACACAGCCAATAGCAGCCCTCCACACTCCCAACCAGCCAATGAACCGTCAGCAGTGGAGGACGAGCCCTGCTGCAGCAAAGACCTGCAGGAGGAGCGGACGGAAGGGAGGGTACAGGAGGAGGAGGAGGAGAAGAATAATGACTCAGAGGAAACGATAGGAGACATGAAGGAAGGGAGGACAGAGGAGAGGGATTTAGAGGGGAGGGGTGTGGATGAGCAGGAGGAAGAGGAGGAGGGAAAGGAAGATGAGGAGGAGGAGGAGAAGGGAAAGGAAGATGAGGAGGAGGAGGAGGAGGAGGAAGAGGAGGAGGAAGAGAAAAGTAGTGAGGAAGCGTTCATCCGGAGCTCTGGGCTGATATCTCACTCCTACAACCTGGACCTGAACCTCAGCCCTGGTGGGTCCAAACACACACACACACGCACGCGCGCGCACGCACACACACACACACACACACACACACACACACACACACACACACACACACACACACACACACACACACACACACGTATATATCGAATACTGACTGTCAATCAACATTTTTAAACTTCCAGACTAGTTTCTTTAGGCTGCGTCCTTATGTGTCTGGCATTGTGATTGTTTGCTCAGAAAACCTTTGATGTCCCCTTCCTACTATCTCCTACCTAACACAGACAACATCATCATTAGGGTGTATCATGTGAGAACTCTGTCATATTTTGTAGAAATACAATCGGATATTCTCCATGTAAGGTTTTAGTTTCCTTCTCTTTTCCAGGTCTTCATGTCAGGGAGACGGAGGATAATGAGGCAGTGGTTACCACGGTGATAGACCTCCATCGGCTGATAATGAGCAAACACCTACCAGCTGTGCAGAGCTGGGTTCAGGTCAGTACACACACACACATACACACACACACACACACACATACACACACACACACACACACACACACACACACACACACACACACACACACACACACACACACACACATAGGCGGAAGAAGTATTCAGTGTGTGTGTGTGTGTGTGTGTGTGTGTGTGTGTGTGTGTGTGTGTGTGTGTGTGTGTGTGTGTGTGTGTGTGTGTGTGTGTGTGTGTGTGTGTGTGTGTGTGTAGGTGTTCACTAAGTCGTGTGCTGAGCAGCGTCTCCTGCAGAGGGCTCTGGATCTGAAGAGGAGTTTGGAAACTGTGCTGCAGAAACACAAAGAGCTGCACATCGACTACAAGACCAGACAGCGCAGAGTGGTGAGTGCCCCCCCCAGCTACATCTGTCTGGGGGCTGAGCTGAGTCTAAGGACATCACGTCATGTCCTTAGACTGGTCAGGTTAATAACTCATCACTAGCATATGAACAAATATAAAATCAATTCATAAAGAAAGCACCCAACTTGTGTTTCTGACACTCACCAAGGTGTTTGTTTGTTAGGCTTCTGTACCGGCAGGATTCAGGCTTTTGAATTTCGCTGATTGTACTTATGTGGAGAGACTTGGGATAAAAGTGATGTATGGAAAAATGTAATGACAAATTGAGTAGGAGGGACCAACTAGTGGAAAGCTGTAGGAATGTGTTATTTTCCTAAATAGCAGCGGCACTTCAGAGGGGAGAAGAAATGGGAACGGGTGTCGTCAATTTGACTTTAAAACAAGGTGTTACAGATAAACTACTTTAACTATATTTCAAATACAAGGGATAAGGTTAGCTGATAGCTTCTGTATTACATTATACCTGCACTCAGTGATGAGGGGAAACATCTATGATGAGCAGGGAAATAAATGACGAGACACTTCAGATGAACATATTGACACTTTGAAGACAAGCCTACAGACAGAGGATTTAGCAACACATCTTTCTATATACAGTGTTTTGTTAAGAAAGAGCATGGCCAGCAGAGGGCAGCATGCTACTGCAAATGAGACAACATCAGCACTACACACACTACACACACTATACACAACACACAGGCCACACACTATACACAACACACACAACACACAACACCCAACACACACTACACACAGGCCACACACTATACCCAACACTCACTACACACAGGCCACACACTATACCCAACACACACGCCACACACTATACACTACACACAGGCCACACACTATACACTACACACAGGCCACACACTATACACTACACACAGGCCACACACTACACACAGGCCACACACAACACACAGGCCACACACTATACAGTACACACAGGCCAAATGATGCTTCACACGAGGGGATCTAGTGAGCAAGGCCAGATGCGGAGGCGTGATGAGCCTGGATGAGCTACATCAGAAACCTCTCCACAGTGAGGTTTAATGCTAAACACATATAGGAATAAGTTAAACTACTCTTCATATTTTTGCTCTGTATTTGGAGAAAGAAACTTGGTGTGAATCCTGCATCACATCAGTTCTATCTCTCAAACTTGAATTCTCATCGGCTCACCATTAATGACATTGAGAGACTTTGGAGATACTAAGTCCATATTGAAGCTTTCTCAGGCTCAGAGGTACCAACCCCATGGAGTGTTTCTAACCTTAACCTCGCAGGTGATCACCTACAACCTACTGGGCATGTGCACTCCTCCAAGTGTGACTATTATCACTAGTACTCATAAACACACTTTGTACAGTGTGCATAGCAGAGCCTCAGCAGCACCATCTGGTGGCTGCTGACAGGACTGCAGCTCCAGATGCTTGTCACCACTACGGTCAACACAGCTCTCTGTTTTTTAGAAACAGCCAGTCTTTGAACTGTGGAAAACACAATCATGAAGGACCCGCACCAGACACACCTTGACATACAGCCCACTTCTGCTTTCAGTCATATTAAGTGTTCAGGCGGACAGCAATTAAGAACAACAAACCAAGTCTTTGTTGGCTTTAGACATAAGATGGATACAAAGCATAATGCCAGTTAAATGAACACATTTCCTTTTGATGATGAGATGTGCACCCTGTGTTGTTGTGTTTCCATGTGCATGCCTCTGAACGTGTCCTCTTGATGTTTTGTTTTCAAACGTCTCTCCTGCATTTCTGCGTGCTCCCAGGGGGAAGCACCACGATAAAGACAGAGAGCGGGAGGATGGAAATATGAATAGAGAGGTGAGATAGCAAAGCACAGCCATAATGCATAACGCATCAGAGACAGAGAGGAGAAGTTGGGGAGCAAGGGGGAAGATGTACCCATTCATTCCCTTCAGAAGCACTAATGTGCCGCGGCTGACACTGATACGTCTGTCTGGCTCCTGTTCATCACGCTCAGCCGGGCTGCTGGAGCCGGCACAGAGAACCTGCCATTGGGAAGCTCTCCTTCCTCACTAATTGCTGCTTTGAGAGGTTTTCATTGCTCTGTGCTTCAGAGCTGGGCTAACCCTAATACACACCTGCAGTGGGGAGACAGAAACAAGAGAGGGAGAGAGCAATGAACAGCAGGCGGCTGATTCAGGGTTTAAAGGTCCAATGAGTGCTTTGTGCTTTTGAAGAAAGGCGTAACAAAAACACACATACAACTTCTGTATGTGGCACATGCAAAGGTTTTGCTTATCAAAAGCTTATACCTGCAGGATTATTTTTGAGTTGGTATGGATGAATGCACTTGTGTGGAGTGACTTGAGTGGAAGGTGTCCACCTGTAGGAATGTATTATCTTCCTAAAGTAATATGTACAGCAGAGTGGACAGAGGCCGCCGGTTGGAAGCTCTCACACCAGCTGCTGCTTTGAGAGGGTTTCATTGCTCTGTGCTTCAGAGCTGGGCTAACCCAAACACACCTGCAGTGGGGAGACAGAAACAAGAGAAGAAGAGAGCAATGAACAGCAGGCGGCTGATTCAGGTTTTAAAGGTCCAATGAATGCTTTGTGCGTTTGAAGGAATAAAAGTTGTGTAGTGTGAATCCATCGCAGAAGAGTGACAGTGACAGAGCGCCGGGCGCCTCGCTCCGCCTGCTTATCACTGTCAGGAGCAGTCTGCTGCTCCACAGCCCAGCCCCGCGATAACCACACAACTTACAGCCCCTTTATCATAATTAGCTTTTCCTTTTTAGCCTTAAAAGGCCTTCCATTACCGGGTCCTTCTCTATCGGCCCGCTGACACGCCGCACGATTGGTTTCTCTCTCAGCGGGCCTCTCAATACAGTCTCCCATAACGGTGAGCAGGGGAGAGGAGAGGGGGTTAGGGAGGCAGATAGAGAGGCTTGTTATTCAATAAGACTATGAGACGGGCTGGAGACACATCTGCATCACGCAGGGGATTACTGCTGGAAACAGAGATGTCACCATTCATGGCTGACGGCTCTGTGCGTGGGATATTGGAGTTTCACAAAGCAAAGAAGAAAACATGCTTTATTAATCCAATCAAATCTCATTTTCACTATGTCATTATTTTAAAGAACACACCTAGGCCTGAAATACACCCGAGAACACATGGTTGGGGTTAGCAGTTAGCACACTTTGTATTTGGTCCAGCCTCCAGTTCATGCCATGCCCCACTGTAGCATGTGACTGTTGAGGTCCAATCTGGTGTGCTAATGCTAATTTAGCATGCAGGGTCTTGAAGCTGGTCCAATTATCTAGATAGAGACTTGAATTCTAGCCAAGGAATGGTGAAGCCAATCTGATGGCAAGACCTCTGCACTGTGTGCTCAGTGTGTGTGAAGGCAGCTGAACCCAAACACAAGCCCCTGCTGTTCTGGAGTCTCTATATTTGGAGTTAGCTCCTATACTCCGCTCTAGAGCTGCACAATTCATCACATTTCTCGATGGAAATATGTAATATTGAATCTGCAGGAAGCACATCATTTGATAAAGGCTAAATGTGTGTTCAAATATTATGTTGGTTAAATTGTGGAGCCTGAATTCTACATAATTTAACAAAACATATTTGTTTGGTACAGATCCTCTTCAAAAAGTCACTACTGAATAATTGTGATATATTTGAAATGATAATAGGAATTCCAAAGCAAACGTAATACATTTCCACAATAAGTATCATCTCATAATAATTGAAACACCAGTACAAATAATCAAGATTAGTTATGTTTCCAAATCATGCAGCCCTTCATGGTTCTATCCAGCTTCTCCGCTATCATAGACAGGTTGTTAGAGGTGGTGTTAAGCTCCGCTAAGCCCCCCTCTGGAGATGGTGTTCTGAGAGAATGTGAGCTGAAGCCAGGACTGAACTGTGGAGAGTCGATCTGATCTATAGCCTCTTTGCTCTAGTTTGAACTCCAGGACTTTCAGGTAGGAATAAAGAAGCCTGGCGTTGTCTCTGTTTGCTGAGCACTCGTTTGACACCAGTAGAGTCTTTTTCCCACTTCTAAAGCCTGTCTATTGTCATCTCTGTTTTGAAGTCCTTGGGATGGTTTTTATATCAGGAGATAACACGAGGCCAGGGACTGCTGTGACACATGTAACCTATAGCTGATACCAGCTGATGAAGAAACCGTGGTTACTGTGTCAGTTTCAATGTGGAGAGCAGTAGATCTAATGAGATATCCATGTGTACCTTCCACACATATATACATATACAGTGGGGCAAAAAAGTATTTAGTCAGCCACCAATTGTGCAAGTTCTCCCACTTAAAAAGATGAGAGGCCTGTAATTTTCATCCTAGGTATACCTCAACTATGAGAGACAAAATGAGAAAAGAAAATCAAGAAAATCACATTGTCTGATTTTTAAAGAATTTATTTGCAAATTATGGTGGAAAATAAGTATTTGGTCACCTACAAACAAACAAGATTTCTGGCTCTCACAGACCTGTAACTTCTTATTTAAGAGCCTCCTCTGTCCTCCACTTGTTAACTGTATTAATGGCGCCTGTTTGAACTCGTTATCAGTATAAAAGACACCTGTCCACAACCTCAAACAGTCACACTCCAAACTCCACTAAGACCAAGACCAAAGAGCTGTCAAAGGACACCAGAAACAAAATTGTAGACCTGCACCAGGCTGGGAAGACTGAATCTGCAATAGGTAAGCAGCTTGGTGTGAATAAATCAACTGTGGGAGCAATTATTAGAAAATGGAAGACATACAAGACTACTGATAATCTCCCTCGATCTGGGGCTCCACGCAAGATCTCACCCCGTGGGGTACAAAGTGA